AAGAAAAATATTTGAAATTTTTAAAAATTCGTGAGCTATTAGAATTAAATGATACTGGATTATCATGTAATTTAAATGCTTGCATTGTGATTTAGAAAATAAACTATTTATCAGGTGCCTATTAAATACTAATAAATTACTTAACGTTTCTCTTAGTCCTTTTTGACTGAATATTACAGGTAGGGAAACAAGCTAGGTGAAGTAATTTGACTATTGCCCTGTGCTATTGAATCTATTCATGCTCTACAACTTCTTTTATAAAAGAAGCACTGAAAAGTTCTCTTCCGTAAGAACCTTTTGATACATATATACTTACAAACTCATCTTATGGCAATAAATTAAAGAAACATGATTCTATCTAAAAAAGAAGCATCTTTTAGATTTATTGTTCTCTTCCAAGATTTAATTCCATTCTTTTGACAGATAATCTAATAAGTTTGGGTACTCAGACTTAAGTCTCTCCTGAAGATTCACATGTGAATTGTAGTCCTGTTTCTCAAACGGAACCGATGTGTGCAATAAATAAGCGCAAATATTTCCTTTCAAAAAATAGCCACGTTTACCGGACTATCTTCTTTACTTCTTTCTCTCTCCATTTTACATACCATTCCTCAAATATATACTGTGCTCTTTGTAAGTTGCTTATGTAGTCCAGTATTTTTTAACATATTTTATGGGGACATTAAAATACTAATTTTAAATTCAAACATAGCCATGTCACATCTGGGTAAACAACAGTGAATCACTTAAAGGAGACTGCCACGTCCATCATCTTTCCAATTGCTCTCTCTGTGGCTACGGTTAGTGCCTTTACTTCCTCTCTGCCTGCCTAAAGATACCTTTTCATTCCCTGTGAGTACAAATTCAAGAAGTCCTCCCAGCATTGCAGCAACCTGCTGCTACCCTACTCACAAGGAACCTCAAACTAAAGGCAAGTCTTCTGAGAAAGTTCGATTATAAAATCATGGGAACAAGAGGCTGACCCCAAAGAATCGGGCCCCTCTGGATAGCACCATCAAAGGCCGCCTCAGACAACACCCACCAGGACTCCCATCAAATTTACTGCCGCCCTCCGAGAAGCTATTTACCTGCTTCCATGTCTCCCTGGGGCTTGGGTGCTGTGCAGTAACAGCAGTCCAAGAAGATGACATAGTTAAGAACATTGAAGAACAGACCGACAATTCCAGCACTGAGAACCAGTAGTGGCTGCTCTGTCTTCTGGGGATCAATGTACCTTTTGATAGCTTCAACCAGGATGCTGAACATCAGTGCCACGGCAAAAATGGTGTTCCCAAATGCTCCCACAACGTCCGCCCGCAGAAAGCCGTAAGTGCTCTTCTTGTGCTGTTTTATGTTGCTGACCCTTACACCGAAGAAACCTATGACCATGGACACAAAGTGGGAAAGGACGGCAAAAGCGTCGGAGGCCAAGGAGAGGGAGTTGCCCACGTAGGCGATCACCAGTTCCATCACAAACAGGAGGATGCTAACGACGCACATGAGGATTAAACGGAAGCTTCTTCCGGAGTATCGCCCCATGGCGGCTTGGTGTCTGGGCAGTTCCTCTCCCTTTCTTGGGAAGGCTGAGCTGCTAGGGGAGCAGCTGTAGATTCTGTGATTACAGCTCCTGGGTAACTCTTCCCTTCAGCCCTCTGGCGCTTGTCATATTTGGAAATCACCTTTTATAGGTTGCTATAAAGCCATAAAACAGTTTAAAGGGCAATTAAGCAAGAGATGTCACGTGAGCTAGGATTTATGGAAATACAAGACACTGGCTTCAGACATGGACTTGAGAGACTTTTTTGTTTGTGTGCGTGTGTGTGTTTAATTGCAGAAGTCAAGAGCTTCTGTGTCCTTGAATCATGTAGAAGCTCGTCAGTGGCTATGGCCTTTCCAGCTTCCATGCCCTACATGTGCAGCAACAGCTCAGGTGAAGCAAGTCATTTACATCTTGTCCGCCTGGTGTGCAGATCTGAATGTCATTGACTGTGTAAAACGGGAATATTCTAGGGGTCACTAATTCGAAGATCAGAGCTACAGCAAGTGAAAACCAAAAGTGAAGCTAGGGTGATTTTTCTACTGCTCTACTGGAATAAACAAGCACCCTATTTCCAAACATTCTCTATAAGACAAAAGAAATATTCCTCATATTCAGGAAACCTTTAAACTGGAAGTGCTGAAGATGTAATTCCAGTTAAGTTTCCAGGAAGAAAGACAAGTAATAATTATTTCACTGATGCAAGGAAGGTTTTTGTTTTTATTTTTAAAAAAACCTTATCTGTCAAACAGCATAGCCCTTGAAGGCCTATCAGTTCCTAAATGTCTAAAACAGCAATGGCCTCTATTACTGTGGGCAGCCTGACTACTGTCAATCTTTTAAAGAAACACAGAGTGAGAAATTCCATTTGACCCAGCAATCCCATTACTGGGTATATATCCAAAGGATTATAAATCATTCTACTATAAGGACACATGCACACGAATGTTCATTGCAGCACTGTTTACAATAGCAAAGACTTAGCACCAATCCAAATGCCCATCGATGACAGACTGGGCAGGGAAAATGTATCACATATACACCCTGAAATATTATGCAGCCATAAAAAATGATGAGTTCGTGTCCTTTGTAAGGACATGGATAAACCTGGAAACCATCATTCCTAGCAAACTGACACAAGAACAGAAAATCAAACACCACATGTTCTCACTCATAGGTGGGTGGTGAACAATGAGAACACATGGACACAGGGAGGGGAGCATCACACACTGGGGTCTGTTGGGGGGGAACTAAGGGAGGGACAGTGAGGGGTGGGGAGTTGGGGAGGGATAACATGGGGAGAAATGCCAGATATAGGTAATGGGGCGGAAGGCAGCAAACCACATTGCCATGTATGTACCTATGCAACAATCTTGCATGTTCTTCACATGTACCCCAAAACCTAAAATGCAAAAAGATATATATATATATAAACAAATAAAATAAAAAATAAAATAAAGAAACACAGAGTGATATTACAATCTCTTTTTCTCCTAAATGTGATGTTAATGTTATATGTTAACTTGACTGGTCATTTGACCAATGACATGTAAGACTTTCTGGCTTTGTCTGTGAGTGTGTTTCTGGATGAAATTAACAGTTGGATCAGTAGAGTGAATGAAGGAGATTGCCCTCTCTAATGTGGGTGGGCCTCCTCCAATCAGTTGAAGCCTGAATAGAACAAAAAGGCTGAGTAAGAGGTAGCTCTTCCTGCCTGACTGCCTTCAGCCTGGGACGTTTGTTTTTTCATGCCTTCAGACTCAAACTGAAACATGGACTCTTCCTGGGTCTTGAGCCTGTGGGTCTTATATTTGGGTTACTCCTTCGGTTCTTCTGGGTATCTTGGCTACTGATTCACCATCAATCTTTGGACTTAGCCTTTTATCATGTGAACTAATTCTTTATAATACATATACACACACACACATATATACATACGTAGATTATATATATATATATAACTATTTGTATACCACACATACACATGCTCGTTGGTTCTGTTTCTCTGGAGAACCCTGGCTAATATTTTGACTAAAACCTGACAATTTAGACAGTAGCCCTAACAGTTTTCTTAGTATCTCAGAAATGATCTCCAATTCAGTTAATATTCTGACAGTTAGACTTCTAATACAACCACATTGTGAAAATTATTGCTGTAAGACTAGCTCATTCATACCACAAATACTTACTCAGTGCTGACATGCTGGACAGAGTTCTAGGCTCCAGAGAGATAGCAGTAAACAAAACAGTCAAAAATCTCTGCCCTTATGAAGCTTGTATCCTACTGAGCGGGGGGGACAGATGATTAACAAAATAAAACATGAAATGTATTGAATGTTAAATGGTGATAAGTATGAGGAAGACACATAAAGCAGGGGAAAGAGTGTCAGCATAGGGACATGTTGTAATTTTAATAAAATGGTCAGGGAAGAATTTACCAAGATGTTCTTTGAATAAAGTTCTGAAGGAGGTAAGAAACTAAGAAACCACGCAGACATTTGAAGGAAAATCTTTCTGGGCAGAAAGAACAATGAGCATGGGAATTCAAGGAAGACCAGAGGTCAGCAAGACTGGAGATGAGTAATGGGACAATGAGAAAGAGATGATGAAGCCAGAGAGGTGATGGCGCAGGGGCAAATCAGTGAGGCCCCGACATAAGAGAAAATTGAGCAGAAGAATGAGGAGGTCCTCCATATGTTTTAAAGGAATCACTGGGTGTGTCTGAGATTACAAGAAAGCAGAGACCAGTTAGGAGGCTACTGCAATAATCTAAATGAGATTGTGGTTTAGACTAAGTGGAAAGTGGAAACACCCAGGCAGGACCGGCTACATAATTCATGGGTTCTACTGCAAGATGAAAAAGCAGGATCCCTTGCTCAAAAATTGTCAAGTATTTTTTATTTTTTTGAGACAGTCATGCTCTGTTGCCCAGTCTGAAGTGCAGTGGCACGATCTTAGCTCACTGCAACCTCCACCTCCCAGTTTCAAGTGATTTTTGTGCCTGAGCCTCCCAAGTAGCTGGGACTACAGGCATGAGGCACCATACCCAGCTAATTTTTATATTTTTAGTAGACATGGGGTTCCCCCATGTTGTGGAGGACATGGGGTTCCCCCATATTGCCCAGGTTGATCTGAAACTCTGGGTCTCAAGTGCCCGCCTTGGCCTCTCAAAGTGCTGGGACTATAGGTGTAAGCTACCATGCCTAACCAATTATCGAGCATGTTTAAGCCAGGCATGATGATGGTCATCTGTAACCCCAGCATTTTGGGAGGCCAAAGTGGGAAGATCACTTGAGGCCTGGAGTTCAAGACCCTCCTGGGCAACATTGCAAGGCTCTGCATCTACAAAAAAATTTTTTTAATTAGCCAGGCATGGTGGCATGCTCCCTGTTGTCCCAATTATTTGGGAGACAAGTATGAGGGAGGACTGCTTGAGCCCAAAAGTTTGAGGCTGCCGTGACCTATGATTGTGCCACTGCAAACTCTATCCCTAAAAAACAAAAACACAGTTTTAAAATGGTGCAGGCCCGGAAACCACAAGGAGGAGGTTCAGTATTCTCTCCTGAGCGTGAAGTTGGCGCTTGGTGTTGCTTCACTGCAACTGCTATTTGCCATTGATGATTGTTCTTCTCTTCCTCTGAGAGTAAGAGGGAGAGGAGGCAGTCTGAGTGGTTTCTCTTTAAATAAATAAATTAATTAAAGGGTGCAACCACTATGGAAAACAATACAGCAGTTCTCTCAAACTTGAAAATAGAATTGCCATATGATCCAGCAATTCTACTTCTGGGTATAAAAAATTGAAAAAATTTGAAAGCAGCGCACTGAAGAGAAATTTGTGCCTCATGTTCATGGCATTATTCACAATAGCCAAAAAGCAGAAGGAATTCAAGTTTCCATCGACAGATGAAAGAATATTTTTAAAATGAAATCTATATGCATACGAGAACATATTATTCCACCCTAAAAGGAAGAAAATTCCAAAACATGCTAAAACAGATAAATCTTGAGGACATTGTCTAAGTGGAATAAACCAGTCACAGAAAGACAAATATTGTGAGTCCACTTATATGAGGTATCTACAGTCAAGTTCAAATTCACAGAAACAGAAGGGAGAATGACGGTTGCCAGGGGCTGATGGGAAATTGACATGGGCAGTTGTTTAATGGGTATAGAGTTTCAGTTTTGCAAAGATAAAAAAAGATGAGACTGGTTGCCCAACTGTGTGAATATACTTTTTAAAAAATTATTAATAATGGCCGGGCGCGGTGGCTCAAGCCTGTAATCCCAGCACTTTGGGAGGCCGAGGCGGGTGGATCACAAGGTCAAGAGATCGAGACCATCCTGGTCAACACGGTGAAACCCCGTCTCTACTAAAAATACAAAAAATTAGCTGGGCATGGTGGCACGTGCCTGTAATCCCAGCTACTCAGGAGGCTGAGGCAGGAGAATTGCCTGAACCCAGGAGGCGGAGGTTGCGGTGAGCCGAGATCGCGCCATTGCACTCAAGCCTGGGTAACAAGAGCGAAACTACAAAAAAAAAAAAAAAAAAATTATTAATAATTTCAAGACAGCAATAGAAGAGCACTAAACTAAGCACAGAGCCTGGTGCCACTGCTCAGGTCACACACACATGAAGCTGGCCTGTATCCAGGAGATTTTGCAGTTAGAGTGAACAATATGTTCTGAGTAATTAAACATTAAGGTAGGAGAGAAAGGCAATAGTCAAGATGGCACTGGGAGCCAGGTACGGTGGCTCACGCCTGTAATCCCAGCACATGCGGAGGTCGAGGAGAATGGATCGCTTGAGCCCAGGAGTTGGAGACCAGCCTGGGCAACAGGGTGAAACCCTTATCTCTACAAAAAATGGAAAAATTAGCTGGGCATAGTTGTGCCCCCTGTAGTCCCAGCTACTCAGGAGGCTGAGGCAAAAGAATCGGTTGAATTTGGGAGGTGGAGGTTGCAGTGAGCTGAGATCACACCACTGCACTTCAGCCTGGCAGCAACAGAGTAAGACTCTATCTCCAAAACAACAACAACAACAAAGATGGTACCAGGGTTTTGACCTGGAAGAGTGATGTTGCAACTGAGATGAAGGTAAGATGAAGTTGACTGCTGTTGTAGAAGCAGCATGGGGCAAGGGGTGGAAATGATGTTAAGTTTGGGGTATCTATTAGACATCCAAGTTGAAATGTTACTTGGGAGTTGAGTGAGCCTGGAGTTCAGGGGAGGGTGAACTTGAGAGTTGATAATTTATAATATTAAAAGCCACGAGACTGAATGAGGTCACCAAGAAAATGTTAAGAGAAGAAAATATGAAGAGGTGAGAAGGAGGACTAGAGACATAAAAGGGAAAATAGGAGAGTATACAGTGTTCTGAAGGTCAAGGAAGAATGTACTTTGAGGCCGAGTGTGGTGGCTCCCAGCACTTTGGGAGGCCGAGGTGGGTGGATCACGAGGTCAGGAGTTCAAGCCCAACATGGTGAAACCATGTCTCTACTAAAAATTAAAAAAAAAAACTTAGCTGGGCATAGTGGCTTGAGCCTGTAATGCCAGCTACTCAGGAGGCTGAGGCAGGAGAATCACTTGAACCCAGAAGGCGGAAGTTGCAATGAGCTGAGATTGTGCCACTGCACTCCAGCCTGGGCGGCACAGCAAGACTGCATCTCAAAAAAAACAAAAAACAAAACTGTGTTTCAAAGAGGAGGGAGAATCAGCTAAGTCAAGTGATGAGAGGGCAAGCAAAATGAGGGCTGGAAATGCCAATGGGATTGAGGACTAGTAATGCCGACGGGATTTCACATTACAGAGGCTATGGGTGATGTTCACAAGAGTGGCTTCAGGGGAGTGCTGAGGGTAAATGAGACATGGCTTCAAGAGAATGAAGAAGAGAAACTGGAGATGGCAAGTGCAGGTAATCCTCTCAATGAGTCTTGCTCTACAGTGAAAGGGATGTGGAGTCAAGAACGGTTATTTTTAGGTTGGAAAACGTAACAGCATGTTTGTAAGCTGATGGAAAGAACCAGGAGAGAAAGAAAACCTGAGGATACATAGGAGAGAGTTGTTGATGTGCCACGACTGAGAAGACAGTGGGGAAGAGATTGAGTGCACGCGTGGAGGGGCTGGCATCCACTCTGAGAACAGACAGTTCATCTGAAACAGCAGAGAAGGTGAAATGTATGAACATGAGTCAGTGGGCAGATGTGGTGGGAGGTCCCAGACGTTCTAATCATTATTGCCTCTGTTGTCTCGGTGAAAGAGAAACCAAGATGATCAACTGAAAGTCAAAAAAAGGAGGCATTCATATTTGCGGAGAGAAAGGTATGAAATAATTGTCTAGAAGAGTGAGAGAATGAATGAGGGAAATACGGTACAATTACATATTTACCCACACCACATATAAAGTAATACAGATATCATCATCACCAGCTTCTGTATCCCTCCAACCTCCTCCTCAACAGGTGTTTCATCACAAAATTTGGTTTTGGTGACATACTTCAAATATATTTTGAAATATCCTTATTACATGATGCTTTTTAAATATTAATAAAATATCTTCTATCATTTCAGTACTATTGATGTTCCAAACTCATAAATTTTCCAGTAAAATTGAACAAAGACATTGGTTCAGAATCACCTACTGAGCCACAAGATGAATGTGGTTCTACCTGTTATTTTAAGACTGATGGTGTGGCAGAGTAACTTTCCAGGCATTATCTCAACTACAAAGTTCTCAGCATGCTGCTACTGGTGACAGGGACAATCTCATGATTAGATAAGACCCTCTAAGTCAGGGTCACTGAGACTGTGGCTTGCGACTGACAACATTCAGCCCCATTCAGTACCCCATCTCACTTTCCACCACTGATTGCCTAATTTTGCATCTCAAACAGAACTACTGCAAGGAGACACAGCCGAGAAAAAGAAAATCATGTTTTGCTTTACTCACTACCGTATCCTCTGGCACTGTGCACAGAGCAGGCACTCAAATTTGTTAAATGGGTAGCACTTTCTAGACATAGTGGAAGTGCCAAGCAAAGACCAGAGTTATGTTTGAAAATAACAGGGTAGTGGTAGCTACCTCCCCCAACTTTTTGATGGTGCTGGTAACCCCTGAACACCACAAGTTATAAGGCAGATAACTAATATTAGTAACTAGAGACAGATGTAAATAGGGTGATCTGTCCACCCTCCATCAAAATGCCTTCCTCCTTGCTTGCTTCATGTTCTGATGCTGCTATTATCAAGGTTTAAATCCTCTTCACTGGCAAGCCAACGAATGGATTGCTGTTATTGTCTAATTCTCATAAAGGATTCATGTGATTTACCGGCATAATGAAATACTGCATTAAACACACTCTCATGGATGAACTAGACATTGCTAAGATGTCATGTAGTACACTGGCCCCAGTGAATGAAGCCAGTCGTAAATATGCCTGGACCTGCTTTCTTTTTGCTGCAATGAACACGAGGCACATAATCACAAACCGTCATACATCTAGCTTACAGCTGTCACCTGCAAATAAAAATTGTGTTCATTTCATTCAGGTTCATGCACTCTTTTGAAAAGCACAGACACTCAAGAAATTACTTTGATATTTTAGCTGAACCCCAATTTATGAAAAAAAGCCAATTTGCCAGAGGTACATTTTGGGTAAAGGATTACCTGCTGAACAAAATTACTTTATGTAGAGTTTCTTTAAATAGTGACTTCCTTTAAAGCAGCAGACTTCAAGCTTTTCTGTGGTTAGTGCTACTCATCTGAAGCTTCGAAACTTAAGACTGAAGATTTGTCTTTGCACCCAGATATGGACACCTCCTCCAAAATGGTCAGTTGCTACAGGGAAAAATGTGAATAACCTTTAATGTACTTTTTTGGCTTTTATCATAGATTGGTTAAAAAAAAAAAGCCTTGTCCCCTAAAAGCATTTATGTTGGTTTGCAGAAAAACAATAACCAGCTAAAGTAACTACTATAACCAGAGTTATATATTAGAAGCAACTTCCAGTTGACCCTGCATAATGGTCATAACCAACAACAGTATTTATTATGTGCTGGGCATTGTTTTAATTGCCTTACTCTGTGAGGTAGGATAACTGTAAGATAGCTGCTAAGACTTTTCTCCATTTTATAACTGAACTTTGGCAGTTTATGTAAATACTAAGAAGATAAAGCATTCTGAACTGCCATAAATCAATACAAAGTTATGATTCTGAGTACAAAAATGTGACTCTATATATTTCAGTCAATTGAAATACATTTCATTAACTTAGGTACATGAATACACATACTCAAGACATGAGTCTTGAAGGCATGCTCTATTTAGTCTGCTTTCAACTGACAATTTCCTACCAACGTTAAGAAGAGTTCTTGTGTTCTCACACAGTGTGTACTTTTGGTTTTTTGCATCACTTGTTCCCTCTGCCAGTTCAAGGGAAATCTTTATTATTATTACTTTTTCCATTTGTGGGTTTGCTTTGTTTTTTAAACAGAAAGACTCAGATTCAGTATTAGGAGCTATTGAAAGAAAGTGCTGCAAGACATATCAATGCAGGGTATAACGGCAATTCAGGGTCTGACACATGTTGGGAGTGCTTAGATCAAAAGATACCTGGCGTTCAATTGTCTTCATCTCTTTGTAGGAATTTCCTCATAGCACATAAAGCAAGTATTTCAGAAACAAATAAATACATAAAACCATATGAGTTCATGATATTTATTATTGGGATTGTTTACAGAAAAGCCTTTTATCCACTGTTAACTTAGGCATAATAATTGTCTCATGTGACTTCCTTTTAGAACTATTTTTAAAAAATCATAAAAGGTCTGTATCTGAGAAGGTACTAATATCAATGTTTTAAAAAGTGAGGAGAGTTAAAGGGGGAGTTTCTTTCATCTCTCAGTAGCTGCGACCAAATAAGGTATAGTGCTTGGCGGGGTTCTTGCCACAGACACATTTGGCTCCAGGCTGCAGTTCACAGAGTGGTTTGAAGGGGATGCAAAGGCTTTTAGCTCCCATGGATGGAGCACCAGGTTCAAGATCTTGATCCCTGAAATTAATAAACAAATAAGAATTTCATTCATTTATGCTGCACGTTGCTTTTCTTTTCCATTCCAATACTTCACAAGTTTTATCAGTTAATTATGTTTACCTGGCAGTGGTCTTTTTGATCCAGTCCTCACAGTCAATTTCCCCACAGAATGGAATCTGAACAATCTAATAAGAAAAGGAAAAGTATTCAGTATTTATAACTCCTTCAATTCTATTTTGTAGAAAGAATATCTGACGCCAGTTAGAATGGCGATCATTAAAAAATCTGGAGACAACAGAGGCTGGAGAGGATGTGGAGAAATAGGAACACTTTTACACTGTTGATGGGAGTGTAAATTAGTTCAATCATTGTGGAAGACAGTGTGGTGATGCCTCAAGGACCTAGAAATAGAAATTTCATTTGACCCAGCAATCCCATTACTGGGTATATATCCAAAAGATTATAAATCGTTCTACTATAAGGACACACACACACCAATGTTCACTGCAGCACTGTTTACAATAGCAAAGACCTGGTACCAACCCTAATGCCCATCGACGATAAACTGGACAGGGAAAATGTGGCACATATACACCACGGAATATTATGCAGCCATAAAAAACGATGAGTTCGTATCTTTTGTAGGGACATGGATGAACCTGGAAACCATCATTCTCAGCAAACTGACACAAAAACAGAAAATCAAACACTGCATGTTCTCACTCATAGGTGCGTGTTGAACAATGAGAACACATGGACATGGGAAGGGATCATCATACACTGGGATCTGTGGAAGGGAACTAGGGGAGGGACAGTGGGGGGTGGGGAGTTGGGGAGGGATAACATGGGGAGAAATGCCAGAAATAGGTGATGGGGAGGAAGGCAGCAAACCACATTGCCATATGTACCTATGCAACAATCTTACATGTTCTTCACATGTATCCCAAAACCTAAAATGCAATAAGACATAGATAAAAAAAAAAAAAAAAGTATCTGAGTTCCATATTAAACTTGCAAGCAAAAAGGATAGGTCTCCCAGCCCTTTTCAGGCCATGATACCTTTGCAAACCTGCTAGAAACTCTGCTCACTTATAAAAGATAGGAAGGAATGTTTTTCCATGATCCAAAACCCACTCACAGCACATCAAGACACAACAAAGACATCTTTGCAGAACCCTCGAATCTCCCCCATAAACTGGCTATAACACAGCAGCTGAAAAGAAGTTGGACTCTGGTTATACCTCCCTCATTTCAAAGCTGGACTACACCTGCTCTACCTATCTAAATGGTTATCTTCCTGATATTAGCAGGTGCTGTTAACAATTACAATTAACAATCAGGCAAACTTCACTTTATGCCACAGTGTTCCCAACATGTAATGTAGGCAAGTGGATCATTTTTAAAGTCAAAAAATTATTTTGTACAAGAAAAAAAATCCTTTCAATTTTTCTTTCTTAGACTACATAAAACAAAGGCCGAATCATGATACTTAGGACTTTAATTTGGAAATTCACCACCTGTTTGAAAATCTCTAGCTCTGGGTTTTCTTTTAACAAAATGTAGATGTTAGACAAGTTTAAAAAAAATTTTTTTTTTTTTGAGATACAGTCTCACTCTGTCATCCAGCATGGAGTACAGTGGCACAATCTTGTCTCATTGCAACCTCCACCTCTTGGGTTGAAGCAATTTTCATGCCTCAGCCTCTCAGCATAGTTGGAATTACAGACATGAGCCACTACACCCAGCTAATTTTTGTCATTTTAGTAGAGACAGGGTTTTGCCATGTTGGCCAGGCGGGTCTCAAACTTCTGGCCTCAAGCAGGCCATTCACCTTGGCCTCCCAAAGTGCTGTGATTACAGGTATGAACCACTGCACCTGACCAACAAGTATTAAAATTCCTCCTAGTTGTGAATGCTAATTTTTAAAGCATGACTACTTCAAAATAAGGTTTGTCTGCAATAACCATTATGTAGTAGCCCTACAAAATATTCCTGGAGAGTTAATGAAAGGACAGCAAAGTTGTGAATCATCTGCACATATTAGAAATACAGTGTAAAAGCAGCTGAAAATCTGGAGATCGATCAAAGTGGAGACTCAGCAGACATCAGCACTGACAGCAACATGCTGCCAGCTTCCTCAGCAGCTTCTCATCAGCTACTCCCAGCCACACAGTGCACACTCAGGAGTTCTTTCTGCAAACCCTTCCTTGCACTTGGGATTTGGTTTACCATGTTTCAAAAGGCATCTGATAAACAGAGACTAGGAAATTACAGAAATACAAGGAATTCATTAGGTGAACATTAATGCAGGGTGATGAAGCATTAGTTATCCAAGTCTCTTATGCTCTTTCAGTAAAATGTATTAGCCTAATTCCCAAAGTGATGAACTGTCTTTTTGATGATCTGGGTTAAGACAATGAAGAGGTGATACATTTTTAGGTAAGTCCTGGAGGTGGGAGTGGGTAGGCAGGCAGAAGGTAGCAGAGATAGAAATAATAAACATTGAGAGACATTTTGATATACAAAGTATCTGTGCAATAAAAATTGAAGTGAAAACAAACTTAGAAATAGAAAAGCTGAATTAACATAGTTACTTCCCTGTATTCAACATTAGTAAATCATTTGCATAAATACAAACAAAAAGCATGGGAAAAAGTACATTCAAATAAGTATTGTTTAAAATTCATTACAAAAGACAATGAGGCCAGGCACGGTGATGTACGCCTGCAGTCCCAGCACTTTGGGAGTCTGAGGCCGGCGGGATCACTTGGGCCATAAGTTTGAGACCAGCCTAGCCAATATAGTGAAACCCTGTTTCTACTAAAAATACAAAATAATTAGTTGGGCATGGTGGCATGCACCTGTGGTCTCAGCTACTTGGGAAGCTGAGGTGGGAGAAACGACTGACCCAGGGAAGCAGAGGTTGCAGTGAGCCAAGGTTGCACCACTGCACTCCAGACTGGGAGACAGAGCGAGACACTATCTGAGGGGGAGGGGAGAGGGAAGGACACAGAATAAGAGAAAAACTCTAATCTTTGTCTTTAGTTATGTGATGATAAAGTATTAGCAGGTAATTACAAAAAATATCTTTGGTAATAAATTTAAATCTGGTTTCTTTGAAACTTCTGTTAACTTACAAAGTTTATAGCTATATTTTTATAACTAACAATTTTCATAATAAAGTAATATTTTCTCCTTTTCTTTTTTTTTGAGACAGAGTGTCACTCATGTTACCCAGGCTGGAGTGCAATGGCGCGATCTCTGCTCACCGCAACCTCCGCCTCCTGGGTTCAGGCAATTCTCCTGCCTCAGCCTCCTGAGTAGCTGGGATTACAGGCATGCGCCACCATGCCCAGCTA